ATTTCTCCTTCTTTATTTTCTTAAGACAGCACCTGTGAAGGCTAGAAGAAGGGTTAACAGTTTTGGCAAAGATCCGGTTAATAGGGTGAAGAACAAAAAGGCACAATACTGTGACTGGAACAAAACACAAATAACTCGCACATAGAAGAGCGAAGCTCACAATGACATTTCTGTTCGTCTTGGACCATTTGCAGAGGCACACAAACGAAAGATAGAGGAAGCCAGTATATATACAGGCGAGCAGACAGGGACGGGACCAAGGGAGGAAGTAGTTGTAGAGTAGCATGTGTGGGACAAGATATATATAGAAAGGGGGAGTGAAGGGTGAAGGAAGACAAAAGTAGTAGAAAAGGAAGTAGTAGTAGTGGGATTGGGGTCAGTCAAAGGAGAAGAAAGAGGAACACTGCAGGAGAGCTAAGGGCCCACAAAGAAAAGGACCAAAAACACAGAGGGGAAGATGAAGGACAGGATGCCCTAAGGCAAAAGAAAGAAAAAAAAATAAAAAGAAAGAAGAAGGAAAAACAGGAAAGGAGAGGAGGCAGAAAGAGGAGAAGAAATTATCGGGTTAATTTAAGCCGCCTGTGTTCTGGAGGTTAGAGCATTTGACGATGTAATAAGAAATGAAGGCATTTACAGAGAAAAAGCCAGGACTAAGATTCATACAAGGAAAGTTGCGAATAAGGGATGATTCATCAAGATGGCGACTGAAAGTTAGAAGTAGGGAAAAGAGTTCTGGCAGAGGACCAGTCAGTAAGATGATTGCAATCTCTAACATAGTAGGTCTATAATAGGTCATACCATGGATTTTTTGGTTAGATTTGGTAAAGCTGTTTTTAAATTATGTAATTGAAATTTAACAATCCTACAAATCAGCAAAATATGCTTATCTTAATCTTTTCTCATATAGCCTTCATACTTTAAAAGCATTCATCACATACTGTAACCTTGCAGAATGTGTATTGTAACTTCGAATGTGTAATGGTTTGTGCATCATTGGCATGAAACACACCTCAGAAGAGGTGCATTTCATGCCAATGATCCTTTAGATCCAGGGAATGAGACCTTTCCTTCTCTTCCTTGGATTTAACCCTTAAAAGGTCCAAACGTATATATACGTTCACTCGTGCAGCGCCCCGAATATTTTGAAAAAAAAAAATTATAGAAAAAAAAGTTTTTTTTTTTTTTTTTTTTTTTTTTTTTTTTTTTTTTTTTTTTTTTTTTTTTTTTTTAAGTATTTTAGAATAAAAAAATTAGGGTCACTACTTACCGAGATATGAGGCTGAGAAGTTGGCACTGGATGCTCATGTGACAGCAACATCGAGTCCTGCCGCTTGCAGAAGTGTTGCCGATATACCTTTTTTTCTATTTTTCATATTTTATGTAATTTTTATGTTTTGATAATTACAATTTGTAGTAGTTCTTATCATTTTATAACCAATCTTTGTTCTGACACTAGTATTAGGTACTGAAATTGTACTCAAATTGTCACAAACACACTGACAGGTGGACATTTACACCTGCCTTAGATATTTACTATTGTCTTGGAATATATACAAAGTATTTATATGTCCCAGCAATGTTTTGGATATGTGGAAGTATATAATAACAATGAGGAGGAGGAGAAGAATAATACATAATAATAATAGGTAACTAGGTAGTAGGTTGGTAAACAGCAACCGCCTAGGGAGGTACTACCGTCCTGCCAAGTGAGTGTACAACGAAAACTTGTAATTGTTTTACATGATGGTAGGATTGCTGGTGTCTTTTGTCTGTCTCATAAACATGCAAGATTTCAGGTATGTCTTGCTACTTCTACTTGCACTTAGGTCACGCTACACATACATGTACAAACATATATATACACACCCCTCTGGGTATTCTTCTATTTTCTTTCTAGTTCTTGTTCTCGTTTATTTCCTCTTACCTCCATGGGGAAGCGGAACAGAATTCTTCCTCCGTAAGCCATGCGTGTTGTAAGAGGCGACTAAAATGCCGGGAGCAAGGGGCTAGTAACCCCTTCTCCCGTATAAATTACTAAATTTAAAAGAGAAACTTTTCGTTTTTCTTTTTGGGCCACCCTGCCTTGGTGGGATATGGCTGGTGTGTTGAAAGAAAGAAAGAATAATAGGTAATTCAATTCAAGTTTATTCTCTATAAAGGTTACAATGTGGGGTTTACAGGTTTTGGGTATTGTGTGGTTTACATGTTATAAAATACTAATTACAGAGGGGGCCACTAGGACACCTAGCCTGGCTAGGCATTTCGAGCAGACTTAGATTAATTCTTAACATTAAATCCTTACAGATTGTGGTATTAAGGCTTAAGTGACTACATCATAATTTGTGAGTTTAGCAATGTGAATGCTATCGTTTTGGCACAATACAAAGTGTCTATATTGGAGTATCATAGGCAAACTTATGACTAGTTAGGATTTATTATTTTAAGATTAAGATTAGTATTTCTGGGTTTATAGTCAGTGGGTGAGTGAGTGTAATTGTGAACCACCAGGTGGTTATCATGTAGTTAGTTGTCGGGGTGGATCAGGGAAATGAGATGTTTTCTAACTGTAGTTTTGAAAGTAATGAATGTGTCTGCAGTTCTAGAGTTTTCAGGTAGGGTGTTCCAGATTTTATGTCGTTTGAAGTACATTGAATTTCTGTAAAGGTTTAGTCGAACACGGGGAATGTCATAGAGATGTTTGTGTCTGGTGTTATGCCTGTGGATCCTGTCACAACTATCAAGAAAGCATTTTAGGTCAAGGTTAATATTGGAATTTAAGGTCCTGTAGATATAGATTGCACAGTAGTAAGTGTGGATGTTCTGAACAGGGAGTAAGTTTAGATCTATGAAGAGTGGGGGGGGGGGGTGTTGCCAGGGATGGGATTTAGTGATTATTCTTACTGAGGCTTTTTGTTGGTGTATTGCTGCAGTTGAACCCCAAGCACAGGTAGCATAGGTGAGGTATGGATATGTAAGTGAATGGTATAGTGTGAGAAGTGCAGTTTGCGGCACATAGTATCGTATCTTGGAGAGGATCCCCACCGTTGTGGAAACTTTTTTTTGTTGTGTTGGATATGGGTGCTGAAATTTAGGTTGTTGTCGAGGTATAGGCCAAGGAATTTGCCCTCATTATGTCTGGCAATTAGAGTGTTGTCGATCTTAATGTTAAGTTGCGCAACACCTGCTCTGCTACCAAACATAATATAGTAGGTTTTGCCAGTGTTAAGTGTAAGTTTATTGGCTGTCATCCAAGTCGATATTTTGAGCAGCTCCTCGTTAACAATGGTGTTGAGGGTGGCAAGATTAGGGTGGGAGATGACTTAAGTCGTGTCGTCAGCAAAGAGAATGGGTTTCAGGTGTTGGGATATGTTTGGAAGATCATTGATGTAAATGAGGAAGAGCAGGGGTCCAAGGATGCTTCCCTGCGGAACTCCAGTATCAAGTGGTCGTATTGATGAGGCTGTGTCTTTAATTGTGACATACTGATACCTATTAGAAATGTGGGATTTAAAATATGCAAGCACATGGCCTCTTATACCATAGTGGTCAAGTTTATGGAGTAGGCTGCTGTGGTCTACTGTGCCGAACGGTTTTCTTAGGTCAATAAAAATTCCTAGCAGATATTCCTTATTTTCCAATGCTGTGTAAAGCAGGTCTAGCATTTTTATAATTGCATCATTAGTGCTTTTATTTTTCCTGAATCCAAATTGGCAGGGATTGAGTATGTTTTGTGATGTTATAAATGAATATAGTTCCCTTGAAGCATGAAAAACAAAGTCCACCCCTCACAGTGGCATGATAAGTTGAGATAACTGATAAGAGCTGATGTTTGATGAGCATACACGAGGGTGGGGGAGGGTGCAGCTGATAAGAAAAGTTTAGAGGTGATATTTGATGAGCATTGCCCTCACTTTGTTTTCCCTGGTACACAAACATGTCTGCCTGTCTATTTTTCTGTCTGTCAAGCTCCCTGTCTGTCTATCTGTCTAGCTCTCTGTCTCAGAGATAGCCACAAGACTGCATTGCCATCACGTTTACTCACATCTTCAAGCAGAGTATAGCACTTTGTCTGGATTTTTTGGGTTATCCTCGGTAATTTACACTATGTATACTTGTATTTATGTGTACCTGTGAGACACAGACTGATAGAAAGAGAGACATTGAAAGAGATAGAGACAAAGACAGAGACAAACACAGATAGACAGAGGTAGACAGCAATAGAGACAGAGGAAGACAGAGAGAGAGAGATAGAGACGGACAGAGATAGACAGACCCTAAACTTGGGGTTAACATGACTTTCCCCCTAAAAGAGGAGTGTTAATATGACATTACATCAGTGAATCCTTGGTGTTTGCCGCACTGTTTGCTCTAGCTGGCGCTCAGTTTAACTGGCGCTCCCACAAGGTACTACGTGGTCCGTATATATACGTTTGGACCGTTTAAGGGTTAATCTAAATACTTGCCATTCTTCAGGTGTTAGTTGTCCACTACTAGTTTAGTGCTTCTCCCTGAAAAAAATATGCAAGAAACTAATGATAAGAAACTAGGATCCTTCCATAAACAAATATTCACGAATGTTTGTCAGGTTCTTGGCAACAGCAAATTGTCAGGTTTTGATAGCAAATATTGGTTTAACCTTTTTTTTTTTTTTTTTAAGAAAGCCTCTTTCTTGAAACTTGGAACACTTAAGCATGTGTATAAACCAGGCTTCTTAATATAAACCGTCTGGTCCACAGCTGTTTGGTTTTCAAATTAAATTTGGGAGTTTCAGTGCTGGAGCAGTAATAAGTGCAGTTAAACCAAACTCATCACACTTATTATTGGTACATAGGGACAACTTTTGTGCTAGATTCTCATATTTGGGCTAAGCTATTTTCTTAAATTTAATTATTTTTTTATGAGGTCTTTTGGTGGGAGTACGTGTGCTATTTAGGGTAAGTGGTACCAATTATTTGCAAGTTTTGTTTGACATATGCTAATTTATTTTTTTTTTTTTTCAGAGATGCATCGACATTCTAATTGAGAAAGAATATCTAGAAAGAATAGATGGTCAGAAGGATACATATAGTTATCTCGCATAAGTTCACTTTGCATACGTAGGTAAAAAATCAGAAATCACAATGGCCAGGCATTGTGTATTTAGGAGAAAGTGCTGTGTGGTTAGCCACTGCAGGTTATGTAATGAACTGCCATGTAATCTGGGGCAAGTTTTTCAGAAGCAATAGAAGCCTCCCTGCGACTTCAGGAAAGTTTGAGTGTTGACGCAGCCACAAGGCATGTATCAACATAATACTTCATATAGTTATGTATACAAATCAATGGCCCATTCATTATAAGGTTAAATTTGCTTGGTAGGAAATATTCATATTTTAGGTTTTAAATATTTTTCTCAAACTTTTATTTTCTAAATGGACAGCATTACATCAGGCAAGTTTAAACATTTTTCATCATAACTTTGTTTTAACCTAATACTGTCCTGACATGTTTTGCAAGATATTCATTTGTGTTTAAGCAAATGTTAAATAAAAACTGAATGCAGTCTCATTTTCTGTATTATGACCAGGAAGAGAGTCTGTACTTAAGTCTATTTGAAAACAGTCTTGAGTCGTGGTTCACATCTCACTGTACTTGCATCGGGTGCTTTGCCTCATCATTTCCATAAAAATGCTCTTATCATTAAGCAGTCTTTATGGACTTTGTTACTTAGGAACATCAAAATATGTTATGAAAACAGATTAATTCTTTGTCTCGATATTGAATATTGACGTGATACACCTAATGGATATTTTGTTGCATTGGACTACCCAAAGTTCATTGTGTTACTTGAGATATTACTATTAAAAAATGATATTTCAGATTTTGATAATTCTTTTTACAGTTGCAGGAGGGTATTCAAAATTTGTGAAGATTCAGGTTTATATCAGTATTTTTTTTTTGACTAAAATTACTGTAATGCCAACTTCGTTTTAAATTATTCAAAACACAACATTTTTCAACAACACTGGAGTATTTTGGAATATGATCGAAAAGGAGATAATACTTTAAACACTAGATTACCCATGAAATTATATGCCAAACTAAACAATGCAGATAGAGCATCACAAGTATTCTCTTTCTCGTCTCATTTCTTTTTTTTTTTTTCTACCTTTTTCTCGTCCATTTCCTCTTTCACTCTCCTTTTTTCCTGTCTTTCTCTGCCCTTTTCTCTCTTCCTATGTTTTGTCTTTTTAGTCTTCTCTCATTCATTAACACAAATGTTTTTACAGGGTTGGGCTAAGAGTTCCTGCCTTTATTTAGTAGTTAAGAGCTGTTACCTACCTCAGCTCATTTAAAACCCTTCCCAAGCATTATCTTTAAATCTTCTATTTGCCTTTTCCTCAATGTTTTTTGTTATTTCCCCATACATATATAAAATATTTCCTCATCTTAGCTTCCCATCCAGGTAAAGGTGGTTTTGTGTATAAGGGGCTTGGACATACAGCAAGCATGTGTGAGCATGTTAGTGGAGACGAATGGTTTTTGGAACTTGATGAGCTGTTGTAGTGTGAGCATGAGTCCTGGGAGTGGGAAATGCAGTGCCTGCACTCTAAAGGATATTGGCTCTTTAGAGTGACAGCTAACTGTCGTATCTGCTCTCCTCTTACAAGACATCATTCAATTATCATTGTCTTGTAAGAGGAGAGCAAATACAACAGTTTGGATATCACACTTAAACTGAAAATCTACCAAACCCCTCCTTTAGAGTGCAAGCACTGGACTTCCCACCTCCAGAACTTAAGTCTGGTTAACCAGTTTCTCTAAATCCCTTCACAAAGTATTACCCTGATCACACTCCAACAGCTGGTCAAGTCCCAAAAACTATTCGTCTCCACTCATTCCTACCTAACATGCTCACACGTCTTCTGTATGTCCAAGCCCCTTGCACGCGCTAGGTAGGAATGAATGGAGACGAATAGTTTTTTGGAACTTGACCAGCTGTTGGAGTGTGATCAGGGTAACACACACGCACACACGTGCACATGTACACGTACACACACACTTACACACATACACACACACATACACGTACACACTTACATGTACACACACACATGTACACACACACACACGTACACACACACATGTACACACACACACGTACACACACACGTACACACACACGTACACATACACATACACGTACACACACACGTACACACACATACACACGTACACATACACACGTACACATACACGTACACACACACGTACACACACACACATACACATGTACACACACGTACACACACACACGTACACACACACACGTATGGCGGGGCCAGGAGCTAAGACTAGACCTCTGCAACCACAAATAGGTGAGTACACACACGTACACACACACACGGGGCCAGGAGCTCGGACTCGACCCCGAAACCCAACCCCAACTGGGTGAGTACACGTACACACACACAAGTACACCACCCCGTACACCACACCACACACACACACACCACACACACACACACACACACACACACACACACACATACACACACACACACACACACAATCACACAACACATACACACACACACACACACACCACACACATCACACACACACACACACACACACACACACACACACACACAAAACATACACACACACACACACACACACCCACACACATATACACACACACCACACACACACACACACACACATACACACACACACACACATAACACACACACACACATACACACACACACACACACACACACACACACAACACACACACACACACACACCACACACACACACAAAAACCGCGTACAAACACATACGCGTATACACGTACACACACGTACACACACACACGTACACACACACGTACACACACATACACACATACACACATACACACATACACACACGTACACACACACATGTACACACACATACATGTAGACACATGTACACACGCGCATGCATACACGTATGCATGCGCACATGTACGCATGCACACATACGCATGCACACACATGCATGCACACACACACGTACGTGCTCACACACACATACATAAGCAGAGGTATGATAAAGCTCACGGTTCAGGGAGACTGAACTAGTAGCGACCAGTGAAGAGGCGGGGCCAGGAGCTTGGACTCGACCCCTGCAACCTCAACTAGGTGAGTATATACACGTACGCATGCGCGCGCACGTACGCACGCGCACACACGTACACGCAAAAAAGGGGAAGGAAGCAGACACGTGTATGCACGTACGTGCGTGCACACGCATACGCACACACGTACATACACGAACACAGTCAATGAACTTGCCGTATCCCACCGAAGCAGGGTGGCCCAAAGAGAAAAACAAAAGTTTCTCTTTATAAATTTAGTAATGTATACAGGAGAAGGGGTTACTAGCCGCTTGCTCCCAGCATTTTAGTTGCCTCTTATGACAACACACAAACACACACACATCATTTTTAGTATATAAGTCAGTGTAGCATATAAATCAGGTCCCATGTGTGTATCATTTGCATTAACAGATTTTTAAATTTATTTCTATATGTGCAAACTAGAAAATTTCCAATCCTTAATTTTTTTTTTTTTTTTTTGTAAGGAGAAATAAATTTAAATCTTTGTTATCCTAAGTAATACACTTGTGCATGTGGCTGATTTTTGCAATGCTCTGTATTATATATTAGAGATGTTATGATTTTGCGAGTCATGTATACATGAAGTATATTAAAAGTCTGGCCTCATGGGGATTTAAAATTATTCTTAATATACAGTACTAATTTCAAATTGCAAGTATGGTTTGGTATGACAGAATGTAAGGATGGTCTTCGAATTCCACAAAAATTATCAAGAAATTGGCTGATCTTACACCTCTGTCAGTACTACTGTGAAACTGCTAAAAGTTAAAATTTCTTCACACGTCAAGTTTTTACCAAGATGGCAACTTGCTTGTATCCACAGTGTGTAATATGTTAACTATTCCTTGGAGTGTTTATTCTGTAAATACTGAATTCTTTTGAAGGTTAATTTAGGTTACCTTGATAATACAAATGACTCAATCCTTATGGGGTCATACTTTTGATGCACCTTGTTATATTCGTATGCATGTGTCTTTATACTATAAAAATATGTTATGTATGTACTTTGTACATACACAGAACAGTTGTTATGCATATCTTTTGTAATATCACATTGGAATGTAAAGTTTTATTTTCAATATTCACCTTAATTTGAAATGTATAATAAAAGGATCATCTTAATCAAAAAAGATTAGTATTATTGATTACACAGACAATTTATTATTTGGTTTTGGCCATTGAAGAGCATTCTCAGAAATGTTGAAGATGTATTTTCTATTTCGGGGAAAGGTGTTAAAAATGAAAAATATTGTATGACCATAGGACTTTTATAAAGACATTTCCTCAGACTTTCTTAGTGTAAGATTATAGAAATTAATTAGGCCTAATTTTGTAATCAGATTTAACCCATTTAGTCTTTCAGGACACTGTACTATCTAGAAAATACCTAGTACAGATACATACCATATATACTCAGATATAATGTAAGGTTCTAAGTTTTTTTTTTTTTTTTTTTTTTTTTTTTTTTTTTTTTTTTTTTTTTCTTCCTCACTGGTAATATTTGTGAGGGCTTCAAATCTATTAACTTATCATTGTGTAGATTATCATTACATTTATGAGGAGTGCCAAACCCATGAAGGTCATGAGGAATGAGAGGCAGTTTAAATCCTAGAAAGAGGATGACAGGTTCAATTCCATATATCACAAGCTCCTCACTAGCATCAGGGAACCTCCCTAAAGATTGTACAAACCTTATAAAAAGACTAATATTATGGTTTGACTACTGGCCCATACCATGCAAATAAAATTTGTACCCACCCATCACCCAGTTCACTCGTTTACAAATATTGCTAAACCTGTATTAAAACAAGGAGCAGACAAACACTGCATCAGTCTTACTAACTTAGGTTGGTCCCACTCTGTATCTAGTGCACCACCTTAGTGCCCAAAATGATGTGATGCTATTTGGCTTTTTTGGTTTCACTCATCAACTTTTTGTATCTAACCAGCCATTACAATACTGTGACTAAAATTTGAAGGATGCAAGATGAAAAATGGAGTTAGCAATAACTTTTACTACCACACAATTTTGTAAATAGGCAAGATAAATGCATGTTTGAAAATGGATGGATGTAAGACATGCCTAGTATGGACTAGTAGACTTGCTGCAGTGCTCTTCTATTTTTTATTTTTTTAGATGTATAACAAAGCTCTAGTTTGACATTGAGCTTTATAGATAAAAGTTATATAATACTGATGAGTTGTAGAGGTGTGGGAATAATTGGGCAAGCATAGGACCTATCTTGCTGGGATAACATGCCTACACCATTGTTATATTTTTATTGGACTGGGAAACAAACTTTGTTTTTGCATGAAGCAAGCTGTACTGCATAACTGACTAATATAATAATTTAACTCAACACTAGCTCTATTAGAGATTGGATCTTTTACTTTTACTTTTTTTTTTTTTTTTTTTTTTTTTTTTTTTTTTTTTTTTTTTTTTTTTTTTTTTTTTTTTTTTTTTTTTTTACCATATTTTGGAGCATTATACTAAGCTTAAGCAAGAACATTAAATTGAACCAACATCCTGTACAGTACTTGAATTCTCAAATATTGTACTACAGTCTCACAGAAGTTAGTGTAGACTTTTATGAGATGTGTGAAAAAGAATTTTGGTAATAAGTCTGGGGTTGACTTCACAGGTGGACTATACTCGAGTATATATGGTAATTTTTTATTAATATACATATACACTTTAATTATTATAAAGAAAGCATTGTTAAATTCTTAGCTCTGCATTTTAGTTGAACTATCCATACACTTATTAATGGCTGTGGCAAGTAATCATTTAATTTTAATTTTGATGTTTACGTTATATTGTATACATATTTTGAACAAAGTACATCAGCTATCCCTTAGTATCAGTCTTAGTTTGTGGAGAAAATTGACTTTTTTTTTTTTTTATGAAGCTTTCCATTGTGATATCTAATTCGTCATTCAGTACCTAGTGATTTTGTGAGGAAAAATTGGCAGCTCCACTGTGTGGTGCCCCTTAACACACTACCTCCTCCAAAGAAGGTATTACCACAGGAATGTTTTGTTTCCCATACTCACAAACATCCTTTATCTACCAAGGTTAATTGTGAGGACTAGCAGTTCATTCACATTAGGTTTGTGACATTTTGTCGCACTTCCATATGTTCTATCCTCTATGAGAACTCCTTGTATCTGGAGGTAAATAATGAGCTTTATTGATATAATATCCCAGGGCATATTACAGAACTGTCTTATGGCTGTTCCTTGGCTCTTTGTATAAAGGCATTTTAAAGCCTATATACTAATCATTTTTCATTGTTTAACTACAGTGAGATTGTATCCTGGAGCAATTGTAAATAAAGTATTGGCTGACCATGTCAGTAGCTGATATTACATGTTGTTAATGCTGCTTAGGTATGAATAACTATGAATGCATGGCTTGCATGCATTGCAGATTTTACAGTTCATCAGTTATGATTAAATAACGTCCTGACCGATTTAACAAATTTTGTGAAGCAGCCATTTTAAAGAAGTGCCCTATGCAGGTGGCTCCTCTGCTTTGGGTATGAATTTAAGTAAGTGGGGACATGAAGCATTATCACTGTAAATACTGTAGAGTTTTTATGTAAAACCTTCATGCTATAGTATCAACTGTTCTAGAATAAATCTTTGTTGGCTTACGGGATATAATAAATTATTTGATGTTCAGAGCATTTCAATTATCCAATTTATTCTGGAAAATTTATGGTTAAAATTATACAGAAAACCTCTCTTTTTCCTTCCAATTGAAGTTGCCTTGACTTTGCTGTGTGTGTGTTTTGGGTCGGGGGGAGTGTACATCCCTGTTCTTCAGAGTTGCACAACATTTATCGTGAAGTTACATACACTAAGTCTCTGCAGGGTCAAACCATGAATTATTTACCATTAATGACATATAAAAAGTATTAAAACGCCTGCATAAAACTTGTATGAGTAATACGCAAAATACTTTAGAGTTAAGCCTTGATACGATACAGAATGTATATCCACAGGGATTTACTTTTTTTCCTCAGGGCTCACTTGGTCAGCATGAATCAACTGGAGGACACCTTTATATTCACTAGACCTGAACATTACACAAATAACCCGCACATAGGAGAAAGCTCACGACAACATTTCGGTCTGATTTTGACCCTTTACAAAGCCAGTCACTTTGTAAATGAGTGTGTAAATGGTCCATGCCAGACCAAAATGTCATCATAAGCTCCTCTCTCATATGTGTGGGTTATTTGTGTATTGTTCCAGTCACGGTATTGTGCTTTTTTTTGTTCTTTCTAGACCCGAACATGTC